TATAGCTCAGTCAGACGGCTGGAACTGCTTATTAGCCCTTTCACCATAGGCCGAGTCTCCATCAAACACTGCTTCCTCCTCCTCCTCCTCCTCCTCCCCTCCTCCTCCTCCTCCACTTTTCTCTTCTTCCTCATCCCCTTCCTCTCCTCATCTCCCTCCTCCTCTTTCTCATCTTAGTCCTCCTCTTCTTCTTTCCCTGCCTCCTCTTCCTTATCTTCCTCCTCCTGTGAAATGTGACATTGGAGACTGAACCAGGACCTTGTAAATGCTAGGCATTTGCTGTATCACTGAGTTACAATCCATCTTTGCTTTTTTGTTTCTTTGAATTCATTTTTTCAAAATGAGTGTTTTTAGTTAGTATTTCCTATTGCCTTGCTGGCTGTTGTAATTTGAGGAAGGAACTTGCTAGGTCCATTATGAACCTGTGTATACAACTCTCATAGGTAATATATGATTCTACTTATTCCTACTTCTGTCTCAGTGAGTACAACATAGCTGATCTTCAACTACTGCATAGCTAATTAAGTACAATCCCTAAACATTTGTTATTACAGAATCGAATTTTCTTCTAGGGAACATGTGACCTTCTACCTTCTGTCTCTAAACAGAATGTATTCTTCCCTTTAGAAGAACCACATGCAAAGGTTTCTTATTCCCTAGGAAGCTGACTGTGAGGATAGGACTTGGCAGGAGGTGCTGTAGTCTATTTGGGCTGTGATTCTAGAGGGACCAGAAAAGAACAAGGAGATCAGAAAGGTAGAGAAGAAGAAAGGAAGAAAGGAAAGGACAGATGGAGGAGGGAGGGAGGCAGCTAACACAGGGTCGGCCCCCTGAGAGATGATTGCTGTGGGTAACTAACGCTCAAAACTGGTGGCCCCCAGGAAACTAGAAGAGTTTACCATAGTCCCATGTCCCAGTGAAGGAGCTGCAATGTGTCATACCATCTTCTGGGGAAGGCCTGCTCTGAAGGGCTTCACTGCCTGCCACTTGTGGCTTGCCCCTCTGTACTAATCACAGTGGTCTTTAGAACTCAAGGAAGGCCATGATCACAGGAGTACAAAGGGAGAGACGTGACCAGGTGTTGTCGTCAGAATCCTTAAACCAAGTGTGGCATGGCAGTATAATCTTTTAATTTCAGGATTTGGGAGGCAGAGGCAGGTGGATCTCTGTGATTTCAAAATCAGCCTGGTCTCCATAGTGAGTTCCAGGCCAGCCAGGGATTTGTAGTAAGGTCCCATCTCAACAACGAGAACCAAAGCAAACAAAGCTCCAACACAGTGAGTAGAGAGCGGTTTTCCTCTCGGTTTCTGCTACAGTCATCTTTGAGCTCCAATTCTGTTTATTATCATTTTTGTTTTTTTTTTTAAATTTTACTTTTTTTACTTTTTTTTTTTTTTTTAACATATGGGTGCTCTGTGTGCATGTATGCCAAAGAGATGGTTGTGAGCCATCATGTGGTTCCTGGGAACTGAACTCAGGACCTTTGGAAGAGCAGCCAGGGCTCTTAATCACTTAGCCATCTCTCCAGCCCTGTTGTTTTTGAGACAGAGTTTCTGTGTTTAGCAGTGAAACCTTGTCTCAGAAAGACAAAAAAATAAAAACAAAGCAAAATTTATCTATTTTACATCCTGACTTCAGTTTCCCCTCCGTCCTCCCCTCCCAGTTCTCCCCTCCCTCCTCCCCTCCCCGCAGCACTTACCTTTTAAAAATACATGAAATTTGGTATCTAAAAAAAGATGGTGTCCTGGCAAGTTTTCTGTCAACCCATCCCATCCCAAACAAAACCAACCCAACCCAACCATGAAAACGCCTCCATTAGAGCCAGCTGTAGACAAGACTGTAAGGCATTTTCTTAATTAGTGATTGATGAGAGAGGACCCAGCCCATTGTGGGTGGTGCCACCCCTGGGCTGGTGGTGGTCCTGGGTTTTGTAAGAAAGCAGGCTGAGCAAGCCAGTAAGCAGCACCCTCTCCGTGGTCTCTGCATCAGCTCCTGCCTCCAGGTTCTGCCCTGTTTGATCCTGTCCTGACTTCCTTCAGTGATGGACAGTGATACGGAAATGTAAGCCTATAAACCCTTTCTCCCAGGTTACTGGTCATGGTGTTTCATCACAGCAATGATAAACTAAGAGCAAATGGCTTCCTTTTCAAACAGAGCAGTGAACACCCTGACATAGACCAGCCCAGGAGCTAAGGAGATGAGGACTTCTGAGATTCTTCATAAGCTGTCTGGGAAAGAGATATTTCAAGAAGTATTTCATACATTGACATAGAGAAACTGTAAGGTTACATTATCCTCTGCACCTAGCAAGGCTTTTGTTCTTTCTTCCATGAGACATGAGTAAATATTTTCAAAGGCTTGCTCATCTTTTTTGATCTGTTTTATTTGTTTATTTATTTATTTTAAACACAGGGACTCACTATGTAGCTCAGGCTATTTTGCAGCTCAGTTTGTAGATCAGGCTAGCCCTGAATTCAGTCAACTTCTTTGCTCAGCCTCCGAAGGATTGGGGTTGCTGGTGTATGCCACCAGGGAGGCTTGACAGTGTTATACACTATAAAGGGAAGTGGAGAACAGGATATTATTTCGGAATTAGATACTGCATAAGGGTTGACTCAACCTACAGATTGGAGTATTTTCCAGGAGCAGCTGTATGGAATTGTCGCTACTGACTGTTCCTGACTCTTAACGCAGATATTTGAGACAAGGGTAAGGGCTTATCTGCGGGAGGGTACATTTCTCCTAAAGAGAATTCTCAAGATCATCATAATTACACAAAGAGGAGAATGTGCCAGACAGGAGTGGGTGGGGGTGTTTTCTCTTTGTGGTTGGTTGTAATGTCTTCAAGATTCCTATCCTAAAAAGAGACTTTTGAATATCCAGGAGGTTAGCGACAACTCAAGGATGCCGCGTTGGAGTCACCAGCAGGTGAGGGGCCCAGCAGATCCCAGTGTGCTGCTGGGATCTCAGGTAAGATTTTATGCGCACAGAATCCCAGTGGGACCGCGGGCTTGCGCCCGGCTACTAGTGAGTCCAGGGCCTCCCTCTCGCAGCCGCCAGAGCCACCGCCCTTGGCCTTCCCTGCCGATCCTTTATCTCTTTGCTACCTTTTCCAGTAGCTGCCTCTACCCCAGGTCGTTCCCCCGACATTCCAGACCCAGCAGGGCCCCCAACTTAAGAAACTGCTTTTAAGGGAACTAATGGACCAAGAGTTTTCTGCTTGCCTTTTTGCAGAGGGTTGCCCTGGCACGCGAGTGAAGTCCAGCATCTAGCAAGGGTAGAGAACCGACCTTGGAGAGGGCATCTCTCTGATCCTGGGATGCGATCATCCGGGTTTCTTTTGGCCAGGGAACTTGGAGCGCTAACTCTGGGGGAAGTTGGTTATAAAGTTTCCTAGAGCAAATTCAGCGGTCTCTGGAGGGGGAAAACACAGCCCACTGCGGACCCGGGAACCGGACCGGAACCTGGAGGCCAGGAAGGAAACTCCCTGACAGCATCTTTGTTCTGCCCTAGGGAAGAGACTTGGGAAGCACTGGTAGGGTGATTGCAGGGATCCACAATCATGCCATTCTAGACCCAGAAAGGGTCCCTTGCTACCCACCCTTCACATCCTCCATTCTAGCTAGGAACACTGCTCCCAAAGCCTCTTTTCACTCCTCTTTACCCTCAAATTTAAGCCCACCGAGCCCCCATGTCTGGACTTGGGGAAAGCAGTAGTAAATAAGAAGGTGCGCAGTGGTGGGGATGCCAGCAGAAGATTGTGTATTTGCTTTGGAAAGTTTTGGACCCCCCCGCCCCGCCCCCTTTAACTCACTTTGTCCTAAAGACTGACTCATTATAAAGGCCGCCCCTCCCTCCATGTTCTCCCACCTTCCTGCTTTTTTCTTCAATTCTGGTGAGATCTAGAAAGAAAATTGGCGCTGCTTTGAGTTCCTTAGAGAGTAAACCACGTAGAGGTGAGAGTCGAGCATTAAGAGGTTGTAAAGATGAGGTCCCCAGTTCTTCTTCTTGCAGAAGACTTGAAGAAAGGTTGAGAGACATCCCAGATTCGGAAGACACCTGGCTTGCCAATGACCAGAAGGTGGGGGAGGGGATGCAGGTTTGGACCACACACCAGTTGCAGAGGGTAGAGGATGAGGAGTTAGAAGTAGGGGAGGAGGACCCTGTAGCTGTGAAGGGAAGGGAACCAGGTAGGTACGCTAGGCCTAGGGGTGGAGGGAGCCCTGTTAACCCGAGAGTCTTGTTAATACAGTTGGAGAGGAGAGGAAGTTCCCTGGAGTTTGAGAGGGTGGTAGAACCTGAGTGAGCCCTGGAATGAGTAGCATAGTATCTGGAGCAACAGGTAGCCTGCAAGGGCTGGGTATAGGTCCCTCTGGTACCCTTATTGGCCTCTGCCAGGCAAATTTGAGTGCTTTTCCCTGGGGTCGTTTGTGGGCACTGGTCGGGAAGGAAGAGGAGAATTTCCCATCATTTCGAGCGCCTTTGAATTCTTCCAGCCCTTTGGGTGGAGGAAGATGAATAGGAGTGGAGGATTGTGGATGGAGAGACTCCTCTGAACCCCACCTCTTATCTTAAAGGGTTGACCTGGATCCCTCACATTATGTCTCTTGGGATGCTGAAAAATGGCAGAAACTCATTGCCAAAGTGGATGCCTCTCCCTGATTGGCAGGGAAAGTGCAAACAAAGAGGTGCATCTCCCGGAAACAATGAGTTTGGAGATTTCCCTCGGGCGGGCGTGAGAGCGTGGACTGAAGGCTGGGTGTTCAAAGGGTGTGTGGGAAGGGACCCGGACCCGCATCTCCAGGGCAAAGTTTTCCGGGAGGTAGAAGGAGACAGGGTCCGGACTGAGTTGCTGGTGCTTGGGGACAGAGCCGCCTGAGCTGCGCACCAAGGCTTGGAGCGGGGCGGGAGATGCGGGGAGAGGGAGGGGGCGGGGAGGGAGGGGAGGGAGAGAGGAGGAAGGGGTGAGAGGGAGAAACCTGCCGCGGCTCTCCGCCTCTTTGTCTGCTCTGGGACTTGGAACAAAAGGGGGAACTCTGATGAACTCCTTCTCCCGCTCCCTGGACGCCTGGGTATCTCCCTCTCACAACTTTGTCAACGCGACTTTCTCCGCTGTCAGGCTGCGCAAAAGTGTCCCAGCGCCTCGCAGGCTGCAACAATGGAAACAATGTCCCTTCAAAGTGCGACGAAGTCGGGGAGAAGGTGAGTGACTTGTCCTGTTTACCCGGCTCCCTTCAGGTCCCCAGGCTCCCAGCCCTTCCGAGGGCAAAGTCGCAGATCCAGTAGCCAAGTTTTACTGTTTCTTTCTCTTTTCTTTTCTTTCTTTTTTTTTTTAATTGTATCTCTTTCCCCGGTTCTCCCTTTCTTTTGTTCTTTAAGGCTCTTGTACAGATTTTTTTATTTTTTTTTATTTGAAACACGGTCATCTCATGTGCTTCTTTGGGGGGTAGTGGTGAGGGGCTGGGGAGAAGGGCATCCAGACGGGCACTGCCTCGCTTTCCCCCAGTTGTGTGTAGATTTGAGGAAAACATTCTGATAAGGATGGGAACTAGATTAGGCTCACCCGCACCCGAGCCCGGACTTTGGTCATGAAAAAGGAAGAGATGCAGAGGTGGGGGTCATTTCCTCACGCGTTTTCAAACTTCACTGTCTGACGAGCGCTCTGGAGACATGAAGCTTGCAACAATAGAATACAGAAGGGGTTTGGGTGGTAAGGGGGTTCTAGAAAATTGATAGGAATGCTGGAAGTTTTCTTGGTGGCTAGGGTCCGGTGGTGGAAGCCACAGGTTCCAGACTGTCAAGAGTTGCGCAGATGAAGTGGATGGGGCCTGGACCATCAGTTAGGAGTCCGCTCCCCTCACCTCCTTGGTCTGGTTCAGCTTTATGACCCACCCAGAATGACCTCCTGCTATCCTTGGGATCCATCCTCTTTTCCGTGGTAGAGACCCCTCTCCCCCGCCCTTTCAGTGAGCTTGAATAGAGAGGGGACCACGAGCCTGCAGAGCTCCCCTGACCTAGCCCCTCCGCCCCGCCTTTTGTGTTTTAACCTTTTGTTTCTATCGGGCCACACCCGCCAAAAAGAGCGGCGGCTTTTCGTCTCCGCTCTGCGGGGAAGCAGCGCAGTTCCCTCCAGTTAGGGGTGAAGGTTGGCTTCCTAACTTTGTTTCCCAAGTCCTCTAACTTCGAAAGCTTCTGGCTTGGTTCTTGCTTGGTAAGTCAACATCTTCACTTGATATGAAATTTCTTTTGCTGCTTTTCTACTTCGTTCCAAAAGTTGTTTATCTCTACCGGTCACTTTGCGAACATAAAAAAAATAACTTAGAGACCTAATTTGGGGTTTGTCCAAAGGACAAATGTTGGCTTTATCTGTCGGATGTCTTTAAATATGACGCTGTCTTGATTCTGCAACAGAAAACCAGGCCCATCATCTTCAGGTATGTTCTGTGGGATCGGTCCAAATACCAAGGTAATTTATCACCTTCTCCACTGTCTTCCAATTGCTGGAGGTGCTCTCCAAGCTCTTGGAGCGACTCTCAACAAAACAACTGAAACACCCGAACCCAAGCCAGTGTTGATAACTCCAGGAAGCATCCAAACAGAGCCTTAACTTCTGAAAGTGACCATTCTGCAAGGTGCCAGAGCTGTGGAGCCTTGAATTTTCATGTCAAAGACTGAAATGGATTAAGATGATGACAGTCTTTTAGGAAGGGAGTGAATAGACTGGCCTGCGAACTAACCTTAATCAATTCCAATTATATAGGTGTCATTACCAGCGTTTCCAAGTCATGTCATGCTTGGCCGGAGTACTACCTACTGATCTGCATTCGAATTGTTCTTATTGGATATATGCTTCTCAGCCAGTGGCATGGAGATGCCACCACCCCAGCAAGTCAGCCGTGGACAAAATACTATCAGTTTCTTTCTTTGGAGTTTCTTCAGTTAAATTGTTGGGATTTGGGGCAGTGCTTTCCTTATGTGGATTATTGCAGCTTGATGACTGGGAATTCTCCACGTATAGAAGGTATGTTTCTCAGACAAGCACAAGCACTTCATTCTGGGCCTCATACTTAATGCCCCTGGTGACCTGTCTCCTTGTTTTGAGTGGCTACCTGACCAAGTAATTTATGACTTCATGTTTCCTTCTTGGGGACTGTGTTTTGTAGATCTTTTCTCAAGTAGGACAATGATTTGGGTGTGTGTGATGAAAGTTTATTGATTTTTTTACAATGTGTCTGTCAATATCTGCACATATAATGAATGTTGATTTATGTAGATTTATGTATATTTTATGTCAGTAATGGGTCCAATGTGTCTAACAGTCCTTGTTTTATTTGTGGCTGATTTTCTCCTTAAATACCAGAGTGGATATTCTATTTTAACAGAACTTACGTAGCTTGAATTACATTATTACTATCATCTTTATTATTATTATTTTTGTATTATTTGTATATTTACAGTTCATTTTGGTAAACAAAATCCACAAGTGGTCCCAAATAAACGAATTTCTAATGGCAGGGTATCAGGACAAAGCACAACAATTTCTCTTAGAATAGAAGATTTGGTCATGCCATAATCAAAGGGCATGATGCTTTGTCTGCTCTTCATGGCAGATTACCAAGATTTTATATTCCTTTTAAAATGCTTTACAGTTCATTTCTGCTCATTTCTGGACATGCAACTAAACATTCTCATCTTCTCAATGGTAGCATATAGGGTTACTTTTGTATAGCATTCTTTGCCCCGATGAAGCAGTGGTTTGTTCTGGAAACTCATAATTTGCTCAAAAAATTTCATTGGAAATTACTTTATCCCAATATGAGTGAAACAGAGTGATTTCTGGGTTTGTGTAAAATTAGGCTTCTGAGCCCTCCCCCGCTTCTCTTTATCATCTGCAAGACGAAGGTTTAAACAAACTTCCGAAGTCCTTTGTCTTGATGAGTGCTTCAGTCGTTCCTGAAACTTAGATCTTTGGTTGTGAAGTTTATTTTCGAGTTGTTAAACGAGAGAGGGCTGGCGTTGGCACCTCATGCTCACGCCTGCGTTTCAGTGCAGAATAGACCTTCAGCAAAGTGTGCTAGACAGAAGTGTCCGCGGTCCCTCTGTTTCATCAAAAGTTTATCCATCAGAACACTTTTCTGGACACAGAGAGGAGCGTGCCACTCCCAAGAAGAGTATTACCCGTAGGATGTTCCTGTATTGGAATTTTGTTTAATGGCCACCCAGTGTTGGGCTCGAAGGTTTAGACACAGGCTTTGGAATGAGTCCCAGCCCAGGCAATGTACTCTCTGTGACATCTTGCCTAGGTTGCTTCATTTTCTTGGTTTTCTGTAGTTCCGTCATTTATAAAGTAGGCATCCTAACACCTGTCCCATAGGAGTGTTGTGAGAAGCATACGAGAAGCATACATATAGGGCTGGGGATGTCCCTCAGTTGTAGAGTTCTTGCCTAGAGTTCATGCATAAGACCCTGGGTTCAATTGCTAGCACTACAAATCACAAGAGAACCTCAAGAGCATATATGTCTGAAAAACTTATAACATGGGGCTCAGAATTAATGAATTAATGGTACTATTACTGGCTTCTACAATGAATTAGTGGTGTTTGAATGCCTCACACTTTCTTTCTTAACTGTCTTACAAAATACAAACCATGCCCAACAGAACTATTCACTAAAATAATCAAAATTAATTTGGAAGGAAGTGTGTACATGCTTAAGTATGCCTTTCTCTTAAGAGCATATTCTGTCCAGTTCTGTTGTCCAATCAATTGCAGACTAATTTGCTTCAGCAAACATGGGTTAAGCACTGCTTTGAGCCAGGCTGCTGCTGAGGAGCCAAGCTTCACCCCAGAATGAGTGGCTCTTCATTCCCAGGTAGAATGACCGTCAGTTGAGATGAAAGTGACTTCTAGAATTTGTTTACTCAGATTCTGTTTTTGGTTTTTACATTTATTTATTTATTTTGTGTGTTGGGGCCGGCATGTGTGTGTGGCGGTCAGAGGACATCTTGCAGGAGCCCATTGATTGATTCTTAATGCTTGTAGTTGGCTAGGGATCATACTCAAGTCATCAGGCTTTGTGATAAGTGAGTGCCTTTATTGGATGAGCCATCCTGCCTGTCTAGTTTACTCCAATTGTCTACTTTGAAAGCTGTTAATGATGAGTGGCCTTTGAGATTGCTTTAAAATTTGGGGTTTCTGAAGATGTAACTCAGTTTACACAGTCAGTGCTTGCCTAGAACTATGGGTGACTCATGGCTGTAACTGTAACACCCACCTGGAGGACCCGAAGTTCAAGGTCATCTTTTATTACCAATTTGAGTTTGAGGCTAGTCCAATTTACATGAGACCCTGCCTTAAAAAAACAAACAAACAAACAAACAAACAAACAGGCAGTGGTGGTGCATGCTCTTAATCCCACTGCTTGGGCGGCAGAGGCAGGTGGATCTCTATGAGTTCAAGGCCAGCCTGGTCTACAGAGAAACACTGTCTTGAACCCTGCCCCTCCCCTCCCCCAGTATTGATTCACTAATTAGCTAAAATATAAAAGTAACGGCTTCATGGGTTATCAACCTGGAAATCAAGAACTGACACACATCTGACTGCCGTTTTTACTGAATGGTCTTTATTTAAATAGAAACTTAGGGTTTGCAGGAATGGGGCTCAGTAGAACAGGGGTTCTTTCTAAAATGAAGCTGTGCATCTAGATCTGTGCCTCAGGAGGGTGTCGTGCCTTCTGCATGTGACTTTTAACCTGGAGAGAGATTACAGACCCCTTTTTATCTTCCAGGAAGTTTTGGATAGAAATACCAAGGTATGGCTTCTTCTCATTTGCATTCTATTAGCAGGTAGTTGCCTAGAAACAATAATATTAGCTAGGGTAGGACAGAATATGAAATGTGAATATTAAAGTAGGAAAATATCTCCAAAAATGTTATATTCAAAACTGTCATAAACATTCATTTAGTCAGTTGCCCACCAGCCACTGATAGCTGGGAATAATGTCATAAAGTTATTCTGTATTGTGGTCATTGAAATGATGACCAGGTTTACTTTAAAGTAGTTGGAGTTTCACACTTTGGGTGTTTAGCATGGCTAGGACTGCATCCGCTTAGCTTACGGCGATCCCCCAGGCGGTTCCCAATAAACTCATATAGGAAGCAGGTTTGACTGTTTACCTGTGCTGTCTACAAATGGTGACTTTAAAGACTTCACAAGTAGTGAAAAGTGTTTGCTTTGCTTTGGTTTTAAAGTCTGGGAGGTTGGTAGCTGAGCCATTGGCTGGGTCCTGAGCTGAGTGAGCCATTGGCTGGGCCCTGAGCTCGGCCCTGAGTCTCAGCTCTGCTTATTTATTTGCTCAAAGTTTTTCTAGACACCTGCTTGTATCCCCAAATTTACTTTAATTTCTTTGTAAAAAAAATTGTTTTTAAAAAATTACATTTACTTATTTATCGTGTGTGTGCGTGCATGTGTGTGTGCGTGCTCGCACACACACTCCGGAGCTTTGATGTCATGCATGCCTGAGGGTACCAGAAGAGGATGTTAGATATCTAGGGCCCTTGGAAGAGGAGTTATAGGTGGTTTAGTCCCTCTCCCATGTGGGTGCTCGGAACTTGATTTGGAATCTCTGTAGGAACAGTAAGCTTTCCTAACCACTGAGCCATCTCTTCAGTACCAGATTTGCTGACTTTTATAACGCCATCCATCTCTAAGAACTTAGATGACATTCCTGCCTATTGTTGTTTAGACTGGGAATTAATCCTAGGGCCTGGTGCTTGCTGGGCTGAGCCACACCCTCAGCCACCTGTCCATTCTTGTCAAAGATACAGATGTTTAGAGGTATATCATGAATCTAGGAAGCCTACATTGTTCATCTCTCCTCTCCTCATTCCTTGTTTCAACCAATCTTGTGGGTGCATTCTGTGTGCCGAGTGACGTTACAAGCTTTCAGGACAACAGGTATGAAGATCATCGGTAAAATCCCGTACTTCTGAAGCTCTTACTGGTGACAGCGGTAAAATACACATTCAAAGGAAGAAGTGACTATTGAGAAAAAGGAAGCAGGGAGGGAGATGGGAGTGAGAGGGGAGAGGCTGCTGTTTTCTGCAGGCTGCTCAGGCATGGCCTTATCAGGAAGCTAACCTTGAGGGAGGTTAGGAGGGGAGGAAAGGAAAGAGCTCCTCCTAGCAGGGTGGCGGGCATCCAGGCTGAGGCAGGGACAAGAGCCTGGCTTGTCAAGGCAAAGCGGGGGTGGGGGGGAGTGGAGGGTACACAGGAGACGGTAGTGAGATGAGGATTGGGAGGAAACAGGAATGTGGACAGATAGCAAGGGCCTTGGAGGACAGAGTGGTACGTGCGTACCAAGGGGACAGGATGCCGCTGAAGAGTTTCAGACATCATATGACCTGCCATTACTGAAGCTGCCACAGAGTGACTCTGGTTGAGGAAGTGAGGCCAGAGCTAAGATGTGCAAGATGGAACCAGGGAGACCCTCAAGAGCTACTGTGCTTAGCCTGCTGCCAAAATGGTGGCCAGAACAGTAAGGTAGAGGGAGCCTAGAGGGTCGGGGTGGGTAAGAGCCAAATCCTTGGTATATGTTAGAGCTAAGATGGGAGGGTTTTCCTGGTAGAGTGGATGGGAAATAGAGGAAGAGAGGAGATGCATAGGATTCTAAGACTTTCAGCCTGAGCCCAAGAGGAGGCAGAAATTCCTTACCCAAGGTGAGGGTGAACATGCAGGAAGGGCGACCAGCGCCTCAGCTAGAGTACATCAGGATCCAGGTGTGTGTTCATGCGTGTGCCCGTGTGTGTGCATGCATGCATGCATGCCCACTTGCACCATGCCTGCGTAGAGGCCAGAAGAGGACACCTTGTACCCTGCTCTATCATCACCTTCAACCTTATTCTCTTAAGACAGGGTCTCTTACCTGGAGACCTGGAGCTGCATTGGTGGCCAGGAAACCATACACACAGCTGTGCCTGGCTTTTTACAGGGGTTCTGGGAATTCAAACTCAGGTTCTCACAGTTGAGTAGCTGGCACTCTTTCCCAGGGAGCCATCTTCCCAGCCCAAGATATAGACACCTTTAAAGCAGCTAAGCTGTCTGCGAGACAAGCCAAGTTTTCAAGACAGCCATCTAGAGATGGAGGTTTATTATAAGTTGGGAGGCATTAGCGCTGTTGCCATGGGTGGTTGAGTTCATCAAGGAGTGAGTGTGGACAGCAAGGATGTGGAGGCATGGAGTTGTACGAGCCCACATTTAGAAGCAGGGAAGCCGATGGAGGAAGAGCATTTCCTTTCAATGGTTTGGCCTGTTACACACATGCCTTTACCCCTTCAGGGACTGTTGAGATGGCTCAGTTGGCAAAATACTTAGGACCTGAGTGTGATACCAAGGTCTCACCTAAAACAAATTGGGTGTGCTAGTGTGCCTTGGGAATCCTGGCAGAGGTAGAGACAGGGGCCGATCCCTGGGGCTTGTTGGCCAGCTAGCCTAGCTTCCTTGGTAAGTTCCAGGAAAATGAGAGACCCTGTCTTCAAAAACAAAACAAAACAAAACACAAACCCAAGATATACATATATATGTATATATATATGTATAGTGTGTGTGTGATATATGTGTTGTGTGTGTGTATATATATATACATATATATGTATATATATATATACATATATACACACACACACACACACACACACACACACACACACACAGTCTTGTGAATCCTGACTAAAATTTGTATTTTATAAATGATAAAATATTTCTATCTCCCTGATGTGGGGCAGGCTTTTGATCCCAGCATTCAGGATGTCCAGACAGGTGGATAGAAGTTCAAGGCCAGCTTGGTCTATATAGTGAATTCTACGCCAGCCAGGGATACACAGTGAGACACTTTCAAAATAGACAACCAACTTCCATGTCTCTTATCTCAGTGGAGCCTCTTAGTAGCCACAGTGGGACAGCACAGTAACGCCCCCGACTTACCTTATAAAAGAAGAAATTAAGCCTGAGAAGCAGAAGTTTGTCCAAAGTTGCATAAGTATAAGACAGGGCTCTTGTTTAACTTCAGATCAGTGTCATTCACAAAGGAGAACACAGTCGTAATGAAACCAGGCTCCAGCCTTGTGGGACAGTAGGAAGAACTGCAGTGTACACACAGCACACGAATCAAAGCCGGGGAGGGGCGACTCACTACTGTGGTCAGGGAAGATGGGAAGGGTGTGTAGCTTTTGGTTGTTGTGGAGACCCTGTCTTCCTTCTTGATGGTCTAGAACCTTTTGCTTTTGTTTTTGTGTTGTGGCGTTGTGCTGTGCAGTCATGCAAGGCAAACACTACCTTTTTACTGCACCTCCAGACCTTAGAACATGCACGGCTTGTGGACATGTTTTCAGAAGAATAGAGACTACTTTAAGCTTGGAAAGATGAGACAACAGATGTGATACCTGGATGATATGAGGGTTTGGGAGCCCCTTGGTTCCTGCTGAGCAGAGAACGAAGTGGATAGGAGATAGAGTGAGTGACGCCGTGTGACAGATTGTTCCAGGGGAGACACAGCATCCAGGTCGGTTCACTCCAGAAAGGCAGTCCACAATAGACCAAAGTAGCAGTTGAACCAAGGTCCAGTTTGGTGAACCAGTGCCTTTTTTAATTGGGTTACTAGCAGGAGTATGGGAGAGGGGTTACTTACAAGCAGCAGGGGCAACTCCAAAGCAGCCGCATTACCAGAAAGCCCAAGGCGAGGACGCTGCAAGCCCGGCACTCCCTCCGCCCCTTGCAGGCAGTACTAACATCTTTTTGTTGCACTTGGGCGGCTCGGTCTCCATTTTCAGCAACTGTTTACTCCCTGGAGCAAATGTTTCAAGTTGGAGGGAATGTTGCAATTTGGAACATCATGCGATACAGTGACAAGGGCTAGTTCAAACTGAGACGAACTTGTTGAGATTTTTATTTTGATGTGGTTGTGTGTGTGTGTGTGTGTGTGTGTGTGTGTGTGTGTGTATGTACATGTTTGTGTGTGAAGGTACATGTGCGCTTGTGTATGTGGAGACGAGGGAACAAACTTGGGATGTTGTTCCCAGGTGTCATCCTTCTTGTGTTGTTTTGTTTTGAGACAGAATCTCTCACTGGCCTTGGACTCCCAGGTAGGCGTGGCTGTCTGGCGAGCAGCACCATGGACTTGCCCGACTCTTTCCACTGCTGTGATCACAACAGCCCCTTGTGAATTTCTGTTCATGGGGGTGGGTGTTCTGAGTGTGGAACTCAGGTCCTTAGGCTTACAAGGCAAGGACTTTACCAACTGAACCATCTCCCCAGACCTGTTTTCTTGTTTCAGGTGGTGTCTACTGTAGCACAGGCTAGACTTGACCTTGTGACCCTCCTGCCTCTGCCTCCTGAGTGCTGGGATCACAGGACTGTGCCACCATGCCAGGCTGAAATTGAGTTTGAGCAGAGTGATTATGATATGGCGTCATGGACAATGCTGTTAGAACATAGATACACTACCACACATACATGGTCTAAAAATTCTATTCTTTTCTCGTCACTGAACCGAGGTTTGTCTGAGTCACCCGCTGCCACTGATGCTCTGAGTTTAGCATTTGGGTTTCTATTAGTCAGGAAGCTTTTGGAATCAAGTAATCAGCCTCCCAATTTAGATCTTACAAAGCAAGGGTTTGCTGGGTGTGGTGGCATGTGCATGTAATCCCAGCTTTCCGAGGCTGAGGCAGGAAGAGAGTAAATTTGAAGGCAGCCTGGTTTATATACAGAGACCTCTGCATAAGAGAGAATTTTATTTTTATTTTGTTATGTGTTTGGATTTTTCACTGAAGTAATTCCGAGTAGGTAGGGCTGTTCCAGAGATCCTAACGGGATAGCTTTGTATTACGTTGGCTGCCTGAGATATTGCAGATGATACGTATCGATTGGTATTTTTTAAAGTTACATCAACCCCTCACCATGTGCATGTGTGTTGTGCATGCATACGTGCATGTGTGTGTATGTGTGTGTGTGTTCATGCAGAGGCCAACAGACAACTTTGGGGAGTACTTTCTCCTACCATGTGGGTCCTTGGGATCTGACTCAAGTTGTTAAGCTTGATGGCAACAGGGGTTACCTGCTGAGCCAACTTGCTGGCGTGGATGTCATATACAAACACATATTAGGGTACCTGCCACCAACACTGTTTTCAAGTCCTTTTACCTAAAGATCCCCTGTATCTATTGGCAATGTGTGTCCCTAATAACCAGGCCCAGGCAACTACTAATCTTTCTGTCTCTACAGATTTCTAGAACATTTCATAGAAATGGATTCATACAACTACTGGTCATTTGACTTTGGGGACTTGCCATAGAACTAAGGAGGTCATCCGTGTGGTAGAATTTATCTGTACTCTGTTTCTTTTGACTGCTAAGTGCAATTCCACCATAAGGACATGCTTACTCCATTGTGATCTGTTAACCCAATGGTGGCTATGTGAGTTGTTTCTAATTTTTTGTTTGTTTGTTTGTTTGGTTGAGACGGGGTTTCTATGTATAACTAACTGCCTTGGCTGTCCTGAAACTTGCTTTGTAGACCAAGCTGGCCTCGAACTCACAGCGATCCACCTGCCTCTGCCTCTTGAGTGCTAGGTTTAAAGGCATGTGCCACCACTGCTTGGCAAGTTGTTTTCAATTTTTAACAATCTCCAGTAGTACTGCAATGAGCACTTATCCATGTGTTTGCATGGAGAGATGCTTTCATTTCTATTGAGTAAATAGCTAGGTGTTGAATTGGTGGGTGGCACAGTAATTATATGAAACTTTAAAGAAATTCTTTCCTAAGTTTGGGTCTTAGTCACTGTTCTATTTCTGTGAAGAGACAGTGACCAAGGCAATTTGTATAAAAGAATGCATTTAACCAGGTGCTTGCTTACAGTTTCAGAGGGTTAATTTGTTATCATCATGGTGGGAAGCATGGTGGCATGCAAGCAGGTGTATGGTGCTGGAGAAGGAGCTGAGAGTTGCATCCTGATCTGCAGGCAGAAAGAGAGGGGGAGAGAGGAGAGAGAGAGAGAGAGAGAGAGAGAGAGAGAGAGAGAGACAGACAGACAGACAGACAGACAGACAGACAGACAGACAGACTAGGCCTGTGGTGGACTTCTGAAACCTCAAAGCCCACCCCAGTGACACACTTCTTCCAACAAGGCCACACCTCCTAATCTTTCTAATCCATCTTAACTGTGAGCCTATGGGGACCGTTCTGACTCAAATCACCAGTCATGTTACAGCTTTGGGGTTACTGGCAGCAATGGATAAAGGTTCGAGTTTTCCACATCTCTGCTTTTTATTAACTTTGTGAGTGAGAAACGCCCATGAGAAAACTTCCCAGCATAACCATGGAGCCCAGGATAAAATAGTCACTTATAGGGATTGCAATGAGGTTTAGCTTGGTCATTGAAATCCCTAGACCTCAGCAGGTCTGCAATGCTTGTCCCTGTCTGTTGTCAGAGCAGAATAGAATGAAGTAGGTGGCCGGCCATCACACGGAGGGCTTTGTCCCAGTGCCGTGTGCTGCGAAAGCAAGCATATGAAAGAGAGTCATGTTCTCTTCACAGGACACAGTTTGGTTTAAACTTTAGGTCCAGACTCTCAGAGAAGCAGTCCATGCTGTTAGAACCAGGTCATTAAAGTATTTGAGATGATCCCATTAAGCATTTGGGAGAACTAGGCAGGGGTAGGGGTGGGAGTGGGGATGAGGGTGGAGGTAGGGTTTGATACATGCCTGTAATCTAAGCACCTGAGAGATGGGGGTGGGATAATCCAGAGTAATAAGCTAGCCTCAGTTGCTACATGATATCCTGCCTCAAAAAAACCAACCAGCCAACAACCGACCAAAGCTAAATACAAAGATCAAAAAATAATTTTGGAGAACTAACCTGTGTAAACTAACGTCGAAGCACAGCTCTGGGAGGTGACCAGTGGCCGTTGCCAAGCCCTAGCATTCCTCTCTGATGAGGCAATGTGTAACGTTTGGTATCCCAGTAACAGCTTTGCACAATCTTGAGGCATGCAAGCTCACAGGCTCAAATCCTTGGCTTAAGATAAGATATTTAGACTAGGTGAAGTGTCAGACAGCTTGGCAGCAAGGTGAGAGCAATTATGTGAGATTGGTTTTTTTAAATAAATGATTTTCTTTGCCTTAACATTTTTGAGGTAGTATTACACTGTAATTCAGGTAAGGCTGGAACTTACATTGTAGCCCAGACTGTCCTCAAACTTGTGACAATCTTCCTGTCCCTGTCCTCTTAGTGCTGGGATTACAGATAAAAGCCACTAAGTCTGATCTGTTTTTAAATTTTTTTTTCATTTATTTATTTATTTGTTTAATTTATTTTTGAGACAAGGGTCTCAAATATCCCAGGTTAGCCTCAAACTTGCTGTGTAGCCAAGGATGGTCTTGAACCTATGATATTCCTGCTTCTGATGCCCAAGTATTGGGATTACAAGCAAGTGCTGCCGTGTCCAGATCATGAGTTGCCAAAGATTGCTATGTACCCCGGGCTTTTCTTATACTAGGCAAGCACTCTAACTGAACTACATCCCTGTCTGGCTCTCTCTTTTGCAATCCTTTAAATATTTATCCTGGGCTCTGAAGATGGGGAAGTCTACCAGATGTACATAACACCCATGTTCAGCTGATTGGCTGAAAAGTTTCAGAGCAGGTGGGTTTATATTTATGACCAGTAGGGTGGAATGGAAGACTCTGGAAATGAATATGAAGTTAAGAAAAAACTTGATAATTAGGAGACATCAATTTAAAAAAAAAAAAAAAAAGCATGAGCAGTATACAGTGGCACATAATTTCTGATTCCAGCACTCAGGAGGAAGAGGTCAGGAATCAGAGGTTCAAGATCAGCCTACATAGGGAATTTGAGATCAGCCTGGGCTACATGAACAGTGATTTGGGGTTATTCTTCTTACCTTTTTCTTCAAGTCAGATGTCCAAAGAGCTGTAGGCAGTCACACAGTTAGCCTCACTAGCCAACTCTTGCAGCTCCAACCTTCTCCCTATTCTCTCTCTCTTCTCTTTTCCTCTCTCTGTCTCTCTCTCTCTCCTTTCTCTTTCTCTCTCTCCTACACAGACACACAGACACATGGTTCCTTCAGTATCTATGACCTCCTTGATACCAGAATCCAAAGATGCTTATGTCCCTTGTATAGGTAGGGAAGGTGTTATCACACGTACCCAAATCTTAGCACCCAGGAAGCTAAGGCTTGAATTAAAAGGCATAGTGAGATCCTGTCTCAATTAAAAAAACAACAGGAACAACCTCCCCCCCACCCAATAGTCTTCCAGGCTTTCCAGTCTAGTAGGGTGATTCAGTTACTGTTCTCATTGCTATAAGAATTCCTATGGAGAAGCAGCATCAGGGAGGAGAGTCTCATTTCTGCTCACAGTGCAAAGGGATACAGTCCGTGGCGGTGGGGAAGGCATGGCCGCAGGAGCGTGAGGCAGCTGGCCACGCTGCCCCTGCAGTCAGGATGCAGAGAGTGGAGAATGCTGCTGCTCAGCTGCTGGTCTGCTTCTCATGCGCCTGCAGTCGGGATGCAGAGGGTGGAGAATGCTGCTGCTCAGCTGCTGGTCTGTTTTTCATTCAGTCTGGAATTCACGCCCACTATGGCGCCTTTGTTTTTAAAGTAAACCTTTCTGGAAACATTCTCATAGGCACACTTCTAAATCCCATCGACCAGACAGTGAAGACGAACCTTCCTTCGCAAGTGGGAACAGGGCTTTTCTAAAAACCCAGAGCAGGATTGGACTCACAAGTCCGCGATTTACTCCATTTCTCTTGGACCTGGGTCCCGGTCTCAGCTCAGTCAATCTGACAGTCATGAGGTGTCCTTCACTCTTTGAGCCCTTTATTTTCAACCCTGGGCTGGGAGGAAGAGAGAACTTGAAGTGTCTTCACGATGCTTTCCCCGCAGCCTGCACAAATGCTTCCTCGTCACTAAGCTGCGCTGTACCCTGGACCTATCTTTGCACACCTCCTCTCTGGCCCAAAAGGTGATGCTCAGATGTTCCAATGAGCGAGCCAGGCTGTCAGAGTGCATGTTTAAGCTCTTGGCACATTGTATCACCAGGAGGTAAATAAGAGGTGTAAGGAAGAAGTCTAGAAGTTGGGGACCCCAGAGGCGGGCAGTGTGCTCGAGCTTATCATAGTGGCCCTGTGTACACGGCCTTTTCTCTTCAGCCCCACCACAAGCTGCCGCTCTTCTTGGTATTCCCTTCCTGGCGGTGGTGGCGCACACCTTTAATCCCAGCACTCGGAGGCAGAGGCAGGCGGATCTTTGTGAGTTCAAGGCCAGCCTGGTCTACAGAGCGAGATCCAGGAAAGGCGCAAAGCTACACAGAGAAACCCTGTCTCGAAAAAACAAAAAAACAAACAAACAAAAATATGGCAATGCAGAAGCTCTTCGAGCTACTGGATGGAGTTAGTACCCAAAGGCTCATGAGCATAGGTGATAGACTCCATGAGGAGTTCATTACCAGTGAGACTTTCTGCATTAGCTTTCACCAGGAGCTCTTCTGGAATGCTGATGGTCAGAATAAAGGAGACACTGATACGACAAAGAATTTTCAGCCACTTTTACTTTGTAGATTAGTGTGGTTCAGAGGATAAGGGAAGTTCACTGTCATTTTGTCTTAGGGTAAATAAACCTTGGTTCTCTCTGAATTAATGTGCAGCTTTTGTCTCAGTGTGGGAATTTGGGTGAAAGTTCATAGAATGTTTTTCTTACATCTTTTTTTTTTTTCCTTGTCAATGTCTACTTGACTCTACAGCCAAATTTAAAAATTCTCACTTTACTCTCATGGTCCAGCTGCCGTACCTAAGTATATCATGTGGGCGTCGAGCCAAATGTTTGCCCAGGCTTCGCCAGCAAGCACAGGAAGGATGCTGTCCTTGCTCTAGCACTAATTCCTGGCGTGGTGACATGGCCTCCTGAGTTCTGAGGCTGTGAGCATGACCCTTGGAAAAGGGCTCAGCCTGAGCCACTGGTGCTTCCACCAGATAATGCCATCTTGTTTGTTTTTAAATGTTAATTACATAAATTTATTGTTCGTGTGTGTGTGTGTGTGTGTGTGTGTGTGTGTGTGTGTGTGTGTGTGTACATGCACTACAAACCATGACACACTTGTGCAGGCCACAGAACAGTTTGTGAGTAT